TTACATCACCTCACATTAGAAAACTATAAAATTATCAGAGGTTTCTCTACAATATTATGCATATATTAGACATAAAACCTTCCTCTTGAATCACTATCTATTAAAAGGAACCGCTTCAAAATCCGTTGCGTAGTTTTAAAGATTTAAGCATATATAGGGACGAACAGACAGCGACAGCGACTTTGTTTTATACTATGTAGTGATAATATTTACTTGTTCAGACAACATAAGGTCCAATTTGTTAATAGTTAAATTGTTAATTAATAGATGAAAATAGGATAGTAACTCTGCCTGCACTATCGGTATGCTGGCAGGATACCAATCAATGCTAATAGATAAGAATGAAACCGGACTAGATGATCCATCGTGATTACTTTATCAAGAATTAGCACGACAGTTCTCAGGGGATACCGCGCGGAGGTCATCCTGACATGATAAGTTACAAACAAGGATACCGCTAGTCCTCATTACTTATAACCCCAATCCCCCTCGTGTTAGGATTAGAAACATGAAAATTTAAAAAGATATACCCTATTGTCTCAATCCTAGCGGAAACAGAAGATAACGAATTAGTATAAGCAAAGTCACAGTAAACAACTACTTATAATACAATAACAAAAAACCTCCAGTTATATTACATTGCTGCTCACAAAATATTACACGTAAGCCCTACAATCTAGTTTAGTCCGGTTATATATCTTACAGCGAATTCTATAGTTGTAGAGATTAGACCCATCAATCAGATCGTAGGTGGAGAGTGGTTGCGGAGATACAGAGGTAGCTTTGCCACAAGAAACAACATACAAGTCTAAGCGTACAAGCGGATTATTATATTATTAATATTATAAATGCGAAAGTTTGTAAGACTGATTGGATATTTGTTACTCTTTCACGTAAAAACTACTGAAAGGATTTGAATGAAATTTAAAACACGGGTAGGTTGCCTATATATCTAAAGGAAGTTACAGGATACAGCTAGTTGCAAGTAAATAAACACTAGTTTATATATAATCTCATATTTATGCAAAGAACAAACATTTCTTTTGAATAATAATAGATATAGAAACCTACATTATCAGCGAGTGGCATAGACTATATAGTAATAATTAATAATTCAGTAATTTTTGAGTTTATCTATTACAAATGAATAATCTAATATTTCGTTTTTATAATAGGCCTCTCCCATAGATTGCCGTAAGAAACGGTCCTCGGCCATCATCCAATAAGTCCCTGCAATGCCTTTGAGGTCGTCACTTCATTTAGATAAAAATAATAGAAAAAGAAAATTTTTACTATGTTATTATTTATATAAGTTATACTATATGTATAATTCCTAAATATATATTATTATTATATAAATTCACATGCTGTCACATTTGACCTACCGAGATAGTCACAGTACCTACAGAAACAGTCTAGGAAATTGTCAGCATCATCTTAAACATTGTACCAAAGCAGACAAAGACCGCTCTCGAGATATAGAGTTGTGAAAAATTGCCCCAGATGTAGACGTCGGGTGGGAAATTCCACTGCCGGCTGCTCCGGAATAAGGAATTTAATCGTTCTTATGGGAACGTTATTTGTACCTATATATCTTCTTCTCCCTATCAATTATTAGCAAATCTATACATATTCGATGAATTTACCTAGTAAAATAATGTAAAAAGTATTTAGTTTTAAGCAAATTTCAAATTAAAGTGTTTTTCAATTCATGGGTATTTTTTACGCAAATTTAACGTTAGGTCTCCATTTCTACACCTATTTTATTAATTGTTTTTTAAATCCATAGGGTTTACTCCTGAATTAGAATTTTATGATAATTAAAGCTGCTTTTTTATGCATAACAAAATCTTGCTTCTTCCGACTCTAATTATAAGTTGATTTTGATGAAAATTTTAATACTATCTACCGTCGGAAGACAACTGCATCATCTATAATTAAGCTATACCAGCCTTCAATAGGTGAAGTTAGACTTGAATAATACAGAACTAGAACGTAACTAAAATTAGAACAGAATGTTTGTGTTGTACTAAAAGAACAATATGAATAACTAAGACACGTTTTTATCTTTAAAAAATTTAATTTCAGTTTTATATAATTTTTTTTTAATAAATTTAGGAAATTACAAGATTTCCGAGAATTTAAAAACAAACAAAAAAAAATCAGGCGAATTGAGAACCTTCTTCTTTTGGAAGTCGTTTAAAAATAAATTTTATTCAGGAAATACGCGATAAAAACTTTTTGTGTAACAAATACAAGATTTGCAAAGTAGCCAATTATTCGTTAAAACGAAATTTATCTTTTGTTGTTTGTTCTGTAATATTTACTTTCCCTTATTTATTCTTGTATCTTTCATGTTTACCATATAGAACATTCCAATATTACAATATGAAAGCTTGAAAACGAGCGTGATAAATACATAGGCTGAAATAGAAATCTTTAACATCTTTTGAAGGGAATGCTCTAATAGCGAAACTGAAAATTTTCATCAAAAAAAACAAGGATCGAAAAAAACAAAAAAACAAAAAAAATGAACCTACCTTAATAACACGGCGGATTCAGCCGTTGCATCAGTATGGGATGTTAATTTTTTTTATATTTTTTGATTTTTATTCATGAAATTTCTATCCTAATATGTTCTGTTGCATGGATAGATTTTTAATTTTACGTAGTAAATATAATACGAAGGTAATATAAAATTTATAAAAATCAAATAAATACAAAAATGCATCTTTTAGGCTATACACAAATAATTGAAAGACTAAATTCCGTCTATATTATTTTTTTCGGATCTCTACCAATAATGCGGCAACATTCATTTCGTAATCAAGTTTCCAAAGATACTGCAAGTCTCCGCGTAAATTCAATTGGGGTGGATAAACATAAGCCATGTAGGAGTTTATCTCTATCCAGTCCTCACCTGCATACGAATTTGAAATTCAAATAACATGAGAGAATCTGTTTCTCTTATACCCCTGTATATTCATCCATACCAATAAATTCCAATACAAATTAAGGATTATCCCTACAGTAGTAATAATAACAATATCACTTCTCTTCGGTATACTTACAAATCTATGGAAATTATAGGTTTACATTTTTAGTATTGCAGCAAATAGGAAATAAGATAACACTCCACAGTAACTAGCAACTGTGAACAAAAGTGACAGCGTACCTGTCATCAAAATATGTCCACTTTTAATTGGATGAAACACAAAAGTTAATAATTAAAATCGCCAAAAATATGTTATCACAATTGTACAATTTCGGCTGATTTGATACTTTGTGGTAGCGTTTATGTCAAACGAAACGTCAGTCTCAGTACATATTCGATTTAGTATGAACATGCTTTGGCCTACGCAATAAATTTGTAACAGAAATCTCAGAAATATAACATAGCAGACCACCTAAGTCGTCACAAGTCTGTGACCATATTCTCAATGATTGCATTGGCTGTTTTCAAACCGACGCAGTATCTCGTTCTTTGCTATTTTATTACAATAGATAAGACACCAACATCTATTACAAGTTACAAAACTCTCAATAAACACTGCAATAAGTAAATAAAAATAAGATGATTTAAAAAATAATAAGAAAATATTGCAAAAGAAAATTAAAAATTATCATAAAAAATATGTTTAAGTTAGTAAAGGATAAGTTAAGTACTCAGCACCTTAAACTCTGCTCGTTAATTAATAAAATGGAAAATTTTAATTGCAATCCACCGTCTCTTAGGGGTTCCATTAAAATTAAATGATAATGACACGACTCGAATATGTTCCCACTGGGAGTGGTATTTATAAAAATGTAAAAAAAGAAAAACAAAAAGAAATATGCATTTAGATTTATATTCATATGAATTTGACGATGGTTTTAAAAAAAAATGTTTTAATTAAATTATAATTGATTAATATTAATCTGAGTGAAATATCAGAATGCGTTTATTTTTGTGAAGTTATAATTCAAATGTAAAATATAAGTAGGTTTATTATGATCAGTTCGATGTGGCCGCCATTGTTATTGAAGTGAACAGGAACGATTAATTATCCATTGAACATAATTTGGGCGGGCCGTTTTGTAGGTACCGGTCTGTAACCGACCGCTCCATTCGATTCAATTGATGGACTATTGTCTGTTCATTACGTCTGTACGTCTGAACTTCAGTCTGCTGATATCGATTTAACCATATTTAATTATTATATATCTCCACACAAATTCCTCGCACAGTAGGTAGAGAGAATGAAATGTCAAAGATAAATGTCTAACAATGCAAACATTTTTTTACGCAACTTAGAATAGCAATCAAGCTGACGGCCAACCTGATGGAAAGTGGTAACCGTCGCTTATAGACATGAGCAGTACCATGTCATTGTTTTTTTTTTTACCAAAAATTTTAGATTCATCCACTTTCATAACTCATCTTTCGTCATTTTCAAAAATTCTTGACTCAGCAGATACGGTCAATTTGATGTATGTAAAAATGTAACAATAAATGAATGAAAGTTTGTTATTATTTCACGCAAAAACTACAGAACACATTTGAATGAAATTTGATACACAAGTAGGTTATATCCTAACTTAGCACATAGAATACTTTATGTTTACTTTACTAAATCATGCAGGCGGAGTATATATTGTCATATTTAGATCTAAATGATAAAATTTCCAGTAGAACGAGGGCAACAAATATACAAAAAGTATAAGTATCTTAGTCTTCAAAATTGCCTAAGCGTGAGAGATACCAACTTCACATAAAGACAGACAAAATAATTCAAAACTCTCTTAGCGGTCAATCTCATGTTGATGTGTTTAATCATATATCGTTATTTTAAATTAAAATATAATAAATATAGATAATTAGAATCTAAAAATATTAATTTGAATATTATTTTATGAAACAAATGATACTCGTACATAATTACCAAAATTCCTCTCTTAAATAAGTAAATTCCTTAAGATTGTTAGCTATCAAAGGAAATAATAAATTGTTTTCCACCCACCGTCTCCCGACGCATTCCGTCTGCTTTAAGGATGAAAGGCATCTTTATCTCGTTGCGAAACTTTTTCTGCCTTGTGTAGAGTCGAACTTCTTTTAATGAAACTTAAACCGACCGTCTGCGACTAGATTACTGTAATGCACAGTTGACATAACTTAAACACATATTAAAATTATTGTAACATCTATAAGTAGAAGAGATGCTATTAAATACTAAATAACTACCTAACTTATTATAATTCTTGGTTTATTTAACTTTTATCAACATATCTCAACTTTAAATTTTTTAAAAATAATAATAATATAAATTAAATTATTTATTTATTTATTCATTAGTACAAATATGTGTACATGGCGGACTTAATGCTAAAAGCATTCTCTCCCAGTCAACCATAGGGAAGTGTCAGAATACTCGAATGCGGTACTACTAATTATTGATATACATACATACTAAAATTACATATATAAACGAATAAATATATATAAATAACAAATATACTTACACATATATGACATATACTATATTATACACGAAATTGAGAATAATATATAGTACTTATAGTAAATTAAAAGTCTTTTAAAATTTCCAATTGCACTATTATTGACTCATTCATTCATTCATTATTCGAACTCATTTTTGTATTATAGAATAGACTGCCCTCTGAGATAATAATAAATCAATCTCTTCAAAAAGGTACCAAATAACAAACTGGCAACGAACTGGCAATCGCCCTCATTAACACGGGATGATATCCACTTCCCATGAGGTAGATAGTCAAATGTTTGCCTAATAATAAAAAAATAAAATCAGTCAAGTGTGAGTTGAACTCACACACCGAAGGATCTGTACATATGAATACATTTTGTTTCTTTAAACGATTTTTATGTTAATTTGTCTAACATAAAAGTAAATATAAGATAATTTATCTTATACACAAATGTAATTTATTTCTATTGTTCCGATTAGGATTTTTTTACTTTCGGCTATCTCTCATCTATTACTAGTTTACACATATCTATTAATTTAGTATTAGTATTTATTGAGATATAGCGCTATGACAGACGAACGGAAAGACAAAACCACCCTATGAGGGTTACTTTGTACCTATTTAGTTAAAAATCCTAAAAGCAAAAATATTTATAAAGTGTTATTTTCTAAAAATATATAAAAAGGAAAATTAAGACACATTCCAAAACTCCAAAAAGTTAGGTACTATTTTATTCAAACAACGCAAAAATACATTTACATCTTACAAAGAGATTACATGAAAATATTTCGTTACTTAAAATTATATTAAAAATGAAAATGCAAAGCACCCCCAACAGATTCGAAGTTCAACTTTGCTATTTACTTGATGTTTTTACTGTAAATCGCCTCCCTGACTTGTTCGCAAAGATATTTATAGTCGGCAACTTTCCCCGAGTTGCTGTCGCCGACGAAATATCCCTTTAATGGTCGTCGGAGTGCCGGGACCTCTGCAATTTAGATTAGTCCTTTAATTAAATTAACATTATGATCCCTATCTCTTTGGAGCAGGTGGTCGGTAATATTGCCCCGCTGGAACTCTTTCTCGGCTTACCTTTTGTTTTAATTGTTTTTATTAAATGCTTTTATTTTCTTTCATTGTATAATGTATTCTTTATGAGATATAATTATTATATCTATATTTATTTTTCGGTCTATGGATATAGATTTTAATAATATACTTGGATTGTTTGTCAACCTAAAATATTTAATTACTTTGTCACACTAGCGGTCCACCCCGGCTTCGTACAGGCGTACTAATGAAAATAATAAGCAAATGAACATCAATATATCATTTCTGTCTCACTCACTTACTCATTTTTTAATTTGAAGATTTTTTTATCAATTTTTTTTACTTTTAACTAATTTAACGAATTTTCAAATATTTTATTTCATACAAACCTTGTCCTGACAATTCCAAATACAACAAAAAAAAATTTAATCAATCGGTTTTTTTTTTTTTTTGTAGAAAGATTGTATTGCTATTATCTTTTCAATACGATTTTCAAATACCTTACGGTATTATATAGTTCACTATAGTTAACTTTTTTTCTTTGGTTTATTTTTATTTTACAACTATTTATCATTACTAACAATATGTCATTATGCATATTTATACTATTCTGGTACTATTTTTAAATGTGAATCTAAGTTAATTTTTTCGTTACCTTACAACGCTATAACGACTTCATCAATCGCTATGAAATTTAATATACACGTATTGCTTACATAGAATGGAGAAGAATATAAGCTTTATTTTTTAACCCGGTTAGAAAAACATTATCCTAGTCACGCAGACGAAGTTGCGGGCAAAAGTTAGTACTAAACATTTTGATATATGAAATGATGGGTCGACATGCAACGGCTTCATTGACCCCATATGCGAAAATAAGGTAATACTAAATATATAAAATGTCTAAAATAATACAAATTTAAAACAAGTTGATTTAAATTTCGACACCAAATATTTTTTGTGTCCCTACATCAAATCTAAGCCCTTTTGCTTTTTCAGTCTCTTTTCGTTAGCTTTATCTATTTTGCTGGCACTACGCCTGCCGTTGGCGGTACGGCGGTCAACCGAAAAATTAGAAATATCTCAATCCAAGCTAATTCAAAGTGATCGATCAAACGTAATAGAATATAGTTATTTAAAAACTTACGTAACAGATTACTGCAAATTTTGTTTAGATATTCTTTTTACATTGCTAAACTTGTCAATATTTAAAGATGCAATAGATTCAAAACTTACTTTGCTATACATTTGTTATAGCGAAGAAAGCTTTAAATATTTATTAATATAAAATTTCATGTAAGAACAAAATTAAAATGACTAGTAAAGTAAGTTACGTGCTTTGTCGCATTAGTCTTAGCATAATGAATTTCAATCACAACAGTAGACATATTTAATCACATTTCAAACAAGATTATTTGTAATAAATAATTGCTAAATTCAAACACGTTGTTTAATCAAATATTGCGGTCTGTCGCAGCATAGGCCGCAGTGAATATGTACTCTCACTACATCTGCGCAACGAAGTAAAAATATCCATGTAACCAATTGACCCGAATAAATTAAATATGAAATTCTAAATTCAAAATCATTTAGCTCTCTCTCCATCCTGTCTAAGATACGAATATAATATAAGATAATCAAATCTAAAATTTTACATAAGTCTTTTGGTGGCACTACCATTAGTTGAATAAAAATAATATATTAAATATATAATTTTACATTTTTTCTTTATAAAGAGGTTCAGACTTACCTCACTGGCTGTTTTTTGTGTCCCGTCGACTGGCTCCAACAGCCTTCTGATAACTGCCTGTGAAACTTGTGAATTATTGCCTCCGCTCTGACATTGATGGCCGAAGAAAAATTGCTTCATCCAAGTTCACTACTTCAGATTCAAGCCAACTTTATCACAAGTTTTCTTTTTATGTCACGATGTTTCGAGATAATAAAATTGAAAGTATTACATCTATTATTTATTGTTAACAAAAAATAGTTTATATAGCTTTTATTTCGGAAAAAAAAGCTAATTTCCTTTATATTTGACGACTTTCTTATAAGTATTCTGTGCTGATACTGTAATTACCTATAAAGTTGTTGTATAGCCGTCGTTATTATTCTATTTTTCTAGTTAATACTATAAGCCATTTACTTATTAGGTATCTAGTTCAAAATTGAAGGAACACAATTACAAACTGACCTCCAAAACGTACGTTTGTCAGCACAAATCCAAGGGTACAATTTCATTTCGCAGCCCCCAAATAGAAGGTTAACCTGTCCAACACAACTTGACCCTTAGGTACCGTTTACTTTTTGTGCAGTGAGCCATAATGGGGAAAACAAATGAATAGCCACAGACCTTATTACGGTGGATTGTATGAAAGTTACCTACCAACGATTTCCTATTCAGGAAAATCGTTGTTTCAATAAAGTAAGCAAATACAAGTAGTAATGGAACAATAGCAGCATTCTATATACGAATATATAAACTAGATATAGCATATTTTGAATAAAATCTATTATTTTTTAATCAATATTTTCTTGTATTCAATCGAAAGCAATAAAAGGATTTTATAGCAGAGTTCATTATTAATTCGTATTTTTTTCTCTGAATAATACAGAAATGGCTATTAGTGTGATGGAATAGTGAAAACTAAGCGTCCAATTTCGAATCCAACAAATAAACCTAAATAATAAGTTTCTAATTTCTAGCAAATAAGTCTGAAAAATATAACGCCATAATTACTTACCTACTCCCTCGTTGGCATGAACATGATCTTTATTAGAAGCTCAGACAAATCAAAGCGTACAAATTACCTTTTATTTGCAGTAAGTTGTCGCTGAAACGTAATATATCGGCAATTATTATCAGTTACGAGCCTCTTGACGTTTAATTTCAATTCCTCTTTGTTGTAGTATTTTATGTAGCGTCATTTTCCGTTTTATTTCGTGTATCTCGCAGGCTCCTAAAAGAAGTCCACGGAATATTTATCTATCTATACAAAAATAATATTATTATACTGGTAACAGTTTTTATTTTCTATTAAGTTTATATTTTTGTGCTGATTTTATTTGCTTGTGCCTACCTATATTAATATGCTGTTTTTTCGAACGTTTGTTAAGTTTTTCTAAATAACGCTTTCTATAATATATACACAAATAAGTGAATTCTTATATATATATATATAGATATATATATATATATAGATATATATATATATATATATATATATATATATATATATATATATATATATAGATATATAGATATATATAGATATATATATATATATATATATATATATATATATAAATTTCATTCAGAAGCAGTTACCACTTTTCATCAGGTGGCTCGTCAGCTTATTTGCTATTCTAAACAACATAAAAAAGTCTTAATCTATTTAAAAGCATTTCTATTGTCTGAAACTAATATTAAATGCAAAAAATAAATATTCCCTCAATAAAGGAATGGCTTATTATAAATTCATAAAAATAGACCATAATATTGAAAGATAGACGTGTACGTAAATATAGGTATATGATAAATTCGCTGTGCAGTGCCCCGAGCGTTTCCGCTCCACTCGCTTCGGATGCACGC